GAGATTATTTGGTCCATAAGAATAACTAGAGAGAAGATATATAGATTATTATTATTATTATTATTATTATAATACATAATAAAATAATATATAAATATAATACATATAGCTTAAGACGTATGTAGTTATTTTTAAATTCTCTTTATCTGTTTTACGTGTGTAATTATTTTTATAACTATCTTTAATCCGAGAATTTAGAGGCAAAATTTAAATGTGATATACTTTAATCTTTCAATAAAGGTTTTCTCAATTCAAATTTTTTATATTTCATTTCAAATTCATAAGTTTCTATATTAGTTCTATCTTTTATCATTTACTAATCCGAATTCAATCTTTTTATCCAATTTGAATTCAAATTTTCTTATCTTTCAATTTAATATATTTATACATTTATATTACAGTATAAAACTTGATTTAAACTACTATAGAAAAGATGCGGATTTGGATTAAAGATTACTTGCGTTAACTATTTTTCCTCTTTCTTTCCATTAATTGTTAAATGGAAGAAAGGTATATATGAGAATGTAAATCAAAATTTGAATTAATTTTTTTTTATTTTGCTTTCATTAATTAATCACCTCTTTGTTTTGAGTTTGCCAAGTGGCTTCTTAATAGCTAGCCACTTGGCTTAACCACAATGCAAACTTTATTCCTTTAATATATACTAGTCTCAGTATACGTGTGATGCACGTGTGTTTGGCGTCTTTTATTAAAAAGTCGTACAGAATATAGAATAAGAGTGAATCATGTGAAATAACAGTTGATGTTTGAGATATATGCAATAAGTTTTTGAATAAAAAACAAATTGTGACGACCCAAAACTTAGCTTGTCGTGATGGCGCCTAACGTGGTACTAAGCAAGCCGACATTCAAAATATTTCCAACACTTTTAAATGAAAAATAAGCTAAAACAGTTTAAATAATTAAAGCTCTCATAAACTAGATAGAAAATCAAAACTCAACCTAGAGTTCCCAAAATCAGGGTATCACTGAGTACATGAGCATCTGTACACCATAATCTGAAAATACTATTTATGAAAACCGAAACTAAATAGATAAAGCTAAATGATAGGGAAGGAGAGCCAAGGTCTGCGAACGCCGGACAGCTGCTTTGAAATCTCTAAAAGATCAAGTTGCGCTAATAATGAACACCCACAATATCCAGAAACACCTGGATCTGCACATGAAGTGCAGCATTTAGCGTGAGTACAACCAACTCAATAAGTAACAATACTAACTCATGGACTAAAAGTAGTGATGAGCTTCACGGATATCGTTCAATCATATAAATCACAATATAGGAAGATAAGCATGCTTTCAAGTTCGACAGTTAAGGCAAAACAGTTAATTCATGTCAAGTTTAATTGAAAAAGGATATAACATCTCTCCAAAATTACATAACAGTAATATATGCTAGCTGAAGCACAACAGTAATGAAATCAAGTGCATAATCTCAGAGCAACAGACACCCAGTCCTCCCATTCACTCCAACCTCACAGTAACTTATTCCTCACGGTCACTCAGCACTCGCGTTCAGAACTCACACTCGGCACTAGGAACTCGACAATCACACTTAGTAGGTACCCACACTCACTGGGGGTGTATACAGACTTTAAAGGGGTTCCTTCAGCCCAAGCGCTATAATCAACCAATCATGGCATAAGTCAGTAAAGCATGTTGCTGCGTGCAGCCCGATCCCATAAATATCATCACAATCAGTCCCTCGGCATCACTCAGTCATCAATCTCTCCAGCCTCTCGGGCACTCAATAATCATGATAATCAGCCCAAACAGCAATGATATAATGTATCAATAAAGAATAATAGAGACATAGAAATAATATGCAAGAAAAATTGTGATAGAGTACAAAATTGCAGTTTAAAAGATAATGCAACTTGTAACACGTCCTCTATGGGTCCTTACATTACCAACACATAGCCAAAACATGATTGCTAAAATGATTTGCAGTTCAATTTCTATAACATATGTGAAATTTACAGTTAATAACAGATTATTAAACTATACAGTTCCATGGAATTGACCAACTCACAATTCCTATGGTGCATGCCCACATGTACGTCACCTAGTTTGTGCGTCACCTCAACACCAATCATATGAAACATAATACAGGGTTTCATACCCTCAGAACCAAATTTAGAACTTTTACTTACCTCAAGCCGTGCAAATCTCTACTCCAACGCACCTTTGCCTCGCAAAACAACCTCTGAATGCCTCGAATCTAGCCATAAACAATTCGTTACAATAAACACGAGCTAAATGAATCAATCCCATAAGAAAAATACTAAGCTCTTAATCAAAAGTCAAAAAGTCAACTCAAAAGTTGGCCCACGGGCCTAATCTCGGACTCGGGAAAAATCATGAAACCCGAGCACTCATTGGACCATGAGTCTCAACATACCAAAATTACTCAAATCTGATACCAAAATCTCGATCAAAACCTCAAACTTCGACCTGAGAACTTTCCTCTATTTTGCCAAATTTTTCACCCCAAATCACTAATTTAATGATGAAATCAAAGATATAATTATGGAAACTAACCAAAACTAGGTAAGAATCACTTAACCTAATCACCCACTTGAAAATCTATCCAAGAATTGCCTCCCACCGAGCTCCCAAAATCAAATTTGTGTTATGAACTCAAACCCTTGTTTTTATATTTAATACTGTTTCCCAGTTATCCTTCATTGCGAATGCGACCATCTTCCCGTGTTCGCGTAGTACAAAACAGTCTGCCCCTCTAACTTACCTTACACGAATGCGGAGACCTCCACGCGAACGCGAATCACTACTTCCTCTAACCTGCGCGATCGCGTCCTTCTTCACGGAATCGTGAAGAACAAACGCATGACCCAAGCTTCTGCCTCCTATACCCTATGCGAGCATGACCTTAACCACACGTTTGTGACTCACATCATCCCACAACTACGCGATCGCAACCTCCTTATCACAAATGCGTTGATAAAAGTCCTCCAATGCCCAGCTAAGCCTACGCGATCGAGGACTTTCCCACGCGATCGCGTATAAGGAAACCAGATAAGAGATTCTAGAAAACTTCATCCCATCCCCAAGTCAGAAATTGATCTGTTAACCATCTGAAACTCACTCGAGGCCCCCGGGACCTCAACCAAAGATACCGTCAAGTCTCAAAACATCATACGAACTTAGTTGAGCCTTCAAATCACATCATTAAATCCACAAATCGCGCATAGATTCAAGCCTAATGAACTTTTGAACTTCTAACTTCTACATTCGATGCCGAAACCTATCAAAATAACGTCCGATTGACCTCAAATTTCGCACACAAGTTAGAAATGACACCACAGGTCTAGTTTAACTCCCGGAACCCCAATCGGAGCACATCAACTTCAAATTCCACTCTCTGTCAAACTTCCAAATTTCCAACTTTCGCCATTTCAAGCCTAATTCCACTACGGACCTCCAAATCACAATCTGGACACACTCTTAAGTCCAAAATTATCTAACAAAGCTAACGGAACCATCGAAATTTCATTCCGGAGTCATTTACTCATAAGTCGACAGTCGGTCAACCTTTCCAACATAAGCTTCCAGCCTTGAGACTAAGTGTCTCAATTCATTCTAAAACCTCTTCGGACTCAAACCAACTACCTCGCAAGTCGCATAACTACTATAAAGCATAAAATGAGCAGCAAATAGGGGAACAAGTCTACAACTCTCGAAACGACCGGGGGGTCGTTACATCCTCCCCCTTTTAAACAAATGTTCGTCCTCAAATGGGTCTAGAAACATACCTAGAGTCTCAAATAGATGTGGATATCTATTCTGAATCTCCCGCTCGGTCTCCCAAGTAGCCTCCCTAACTGGATGACCTCTCCACTTCACCTTCACTGAAGCTATATCCTTTGACCTCAACTTCCTAACCTGCCGACCCAATACGGCCACCGGCTCCACATCGTAAGTTAAAATCACCATCCAGCTGAACCATGCTAAAATCAAAAACATGAGACAGATCGCCAACGTACTTCCAGAGCATATAAACATGAAATACTAGATGCACACTCGACAAACTAGGTGTCAAGGCAAGCGTGTAAGCCACCTCTCCCATCCTCTAAAGCACCTCAAACGACCCAATATACCAAGGGCTCAACTTGCCCTTCTTCCCCAAGCTCATAACACCCTTCATAGGTGAAACCTTGAGCAGTACCTTCTCCCTAACCATGAAAGAAACATCACGAACGTTCCTATCAGTGTAACTCGTTTGTCTAGACTGCGTCGTGCGAAGCCGATACTCAATCAATTTAACCTTGTCCAAAGCATACTGAACCAAGTCAGTACCCAATAGCCTAGCCTCACCTAGCTCAAACCAACCCACCGGAGATCGACACCGTCTCCCATACAAAGCCTCATACGAAGCTATCTGAATGATCGACTATAGCTATTGTTGTAGGTAAACTACGCGAGCAACAGAAACTGATCCCAAGAACCCCCGGAAAAAAATGACACAAGAGAGTAGCATGTCCTCCAATATCTGAATAGTGCGCTTGTGAGCACGTGATTTTTACCCTACATGAAAATAACTCCTAAAAAATAGACCAAAAATAATTTTTTATTGATTTTAGGAATTTTTCTTTATTTATTTGCATTTCATGCATTTTTAATATTTTTAAATCATAGAAAAATCCTAAAAATTGTCATTTTTACATATTTAACTTTTAGTCTTTAAAATTAACATTTTTTAGTTAATTAGTTGTTTTAGTGTTAAAAATAAATAAAGAATTTTAATTTCTACAAAATTAGATTAATTTAAGATTTTAATTAATTAAAGAAAAGAAAAAAAGGAGAAAAGGAAATTAGGAAGAATATATTTTTGATCTTGTTTCTTCTAAAATTGGGTCAACTCCTAAAATGACCCAAATTAATTTTAAACCTCATTCCAATTCCAATACCAATAACCATTTTGACTCATTACCCTTTTTTATCATTTTTTTACCCTAATCTCTCGCGCAAAAGGGGAGCTAAGGCAAAAAAGAGATCAGATCATAAGACCCTCGTATCCCTTGGGAGAAAAACGGCGCAACACTCAGGCCCCTCCCTTCTTCTTTCTTCTTCTTCATTTTTCCAAAGATACACACAGATATCCCCTCAAAAAACGAAAAAGCAGCCTTTCCTTCATGATATCCAAAATTAGATACCCTTCCCATTAGAGACCAGGCGTCGTTTCCTTGAAAAAACAGAGAGAGAACAGAACTCCATCTCCAACACCTTCAGTTGCCTCAACAGCCGTCTCCCTCGTTTTCTGCTTCGCTTCTGTCGTCGGCGAACTCACCAGAAACATAAGAGTTGCGGTGCACTCCCCCTTCCATCTCTCACCTTCTCACGAATTTTCTAAGTTCAAAAGGGATTCTCAAATCTGAAAATTTCAAAAAAAAAAAAAGAAGAAGAAGCTGTGGTTGAAAAATTATTGCTGCTCTTTGTTCGGATCTGCCGGTCTGCTGTCAGAGGTGTGTTTAGCCATTTTGTTCAGTTTTATTTGAATTATAATTAAAAAATGGATTTGTTGGGTTTTACTTATGCAGTGCTTCTGTTAGTTTTCAGGAGAAAATTTTAATTTCCTTATGAGCTGACTCTGCCCAAATCCATAGACTCGTTATGTGTATTTTTGACTTGTATTCACTTTCTCTGTTAAGTTCTGGAATTATTATTTTAGATTTGTTCTGATTTTGGATTTAACATGTCTAAGTATAAATTTGTCCGAAATTCTTTTCTTGTTTAATCTTTGAAATTATTGGAATGTTAAAATCAGGTATTTGGTCGGTTGAAACTCAAAACGAGTAACTTGGTATCTACTTTCTTTTCTTAAAGATTGTTATTGCACTTAGGGAGGATGTTAGCTGATTTCCACACGGTAGTCATATGTTCTTTTGTCAAGTGTTTGAACAAAAATAGCGTTGAATGAAAATGTTCTCTTCTTCAAAGTCGCCCTACTCTTATTCCTATTCTGTTTGCATATAGCATTTGTTCTTGAATCTCTCTTAAGCATAGTATTCGATTGAAAAAAAAAAATAGGCTAGAGAAAAATAAACAAAAAGGTAGAGAACGTTCCATGCCAAGAAACCTTCAACTGTGAATTCCCATGACAGACCCATATGTGTTCGAGGAGACTCAGGCCTCGTTCTCACAACTTGAAATTTTGGCGTCTTTGGATTTTGAAGGTTCATAATATTGTGCTTAGTTTTGTTGTTGGAATACTTTAAATATTTATGATTTGAAATGTAAAGATAATAGTAGTGACATGAAATAGTACATGTTTAAAAATCATTTGTAATAGAGAAGTTTCCTTTAAAATTGCACCTTGTTAATAATGGGACATGAATATATTTTATATACATACGTAGATATGGGCAGTGGGGTGTATGACCTAGGCCATGTTTAAGTTGAATAAAGAAACATCAAATTTTGCAGCAAATGAATTGGTAAAGACGCAAGCAATCCTTTGAAAGCAACAAGCTCTTTTATTTCAATAAACCCATGTGTATAAACTCTTGGCCTCACAACAAGTCTCAAAGTAGCTTACGGAATAATTCATGAACATCCTAATTTGCTTTAGTTAAGTACAATTCTTTAAAATAACTTGAGGTGTGCCATGACAAATAAAATCCCTAAACTCATGGCCCTCACTTAATTAATTTTAATCCTTTAGAAATTGAGGTGTGCCATTAGTTGAATTTTCCATGGCCCTCGCAAAGTTGAAAGTGCGTAGTTGTTTTAGGCGCGCTATTTTAAAAATTACTTTCCTAAACTCGGGTGTGCATTTCATGTGACCCAAATCCAAATCTTAACAACGTTAAATATAATGTGTCGCGGACCGCGGGTGCATTTCATGTGGCGTGGTTCAAAGAGATGTTTTTGATAACGTTGAATTTTCCTAAAAATTAATTAAAAGCGGTTAATAATTCAAAATTATACCATAGACTAAAACATGTATTAAAATCAGATAATAGGCCAATTATGATAGTTTAAGTGACCGTGCTAGAACCACGGAATCCGGGGGTGCCTAACACCTTCCCTTGGGTTAACAGAATTCCTTATTCAGAATTTCTGGTTCGCAGACTTCAAAAGGAAAGTCGAAATTTCCTCGGTTTGGGATTTAAAAAATAAACCGGTGATTTGGGACACCAAAAAACAAACCATCCCAAGTGGCGACTCTGAATAAAAATGAATAAATAATCCTATTTCGAATAATGTCACTTAAATTGGAAAAACTCCCTTATTCTACCTTCGGGTAGTGTAAAAAGGAGGTGTGACAGCTCCGGCGACTCTGCTGGTGATCGAACCCAGAATCTCTGGTTCAGTGTTCAAAATTCGAGCTTAGAATAGCTCTTATGATTGGCTTTTATTTGTTATCTGATTTTTACATGTTTGAACCAAATGTGCTAAATGCCGCTTTTATCACTTTGATTTTGCTTGAACTGTATATAAATTGTCACGAAATCCTTCTTCTCTCTGAGTCTTCTGAATCATTTGGGAAGTGTGCTCTTCGTGTGACTTCTTTTCTGTTAGAGTCATATCCCAAATTTAGAACGAGGTTCAGAGAAGTTGCAAAGCCGGTGAAGCTTCTGTATTCCCGGTACGCTGCCCCCTCCCCCCCCGGCTCGAGCTGTCCGCTCGGGTAAGCCGGGTCTAGAATAATACACCCAGGTTTTAAACCTAGAATAACATAGCCTCATGTCGGATCCCTAGTAGGAACGCTTGTTTGCATCACTTGCATTTGACTTTGGGGACTCAACACAGGGGTTGAGTCCGTCTAGGATAGGTGTACCCAAATTAAAAGACCATACTGATGCATCTTACGTGCTACTTGCGTATCTGTCTGTTTCGGCTTACATGTTGACTGGCTTCTAGAATAGGGAAAGAAAATGAAAAAATAAAATAAAATAAAGAAAATCAAAAAAGAGGAGAAAGAAGAAAAAAGAAACAAAAAGTGAGGTAAATATTTAGAAAATTCTGAAAATCTGCCAATATTCTAGGAAAAAAAAGTCATTTCAAAACGAGCCAAAATTTTTAAGTGTCATGTTTTCCTGTTCCGTCAAAACTGGGCGAATTACGCGGGTCTGATTCTCACCGAATGTGAGATGCGTAGGCAAACCTCATCGGTTCCGGCCCATAATTTTCAAAAAAATCCAAAAAATATTTTCCTCTACTTCCTCTCTAGAAAAGTCTTTTTTTTAGACCCCAATTTTCAAAAAATTCAAAAATATTTTTCATTACTTGCTTCTTTAGAAAGCCTTTCTTTTAGACCCTAATTGTTTTTAAAAAAAATATACAAAAATATTTTCTTTTGATTTCATCCAAAAATCCAAAAATATTTTCATTATTCTTTCAAAATTGAAAAGAAAATTCAAAATTCAAAAATATTTTCTTTTTTTAGAAGCATTTCTTTCATAAGTTCAAAATAAAATTCCAAAAATATTTTCTTTCTTCTTTAGAAGTCTTTCTTTGCAAAAATTTTGAAGAAAATCAAAATTCAAAAATATTCTGTTTCTTCTTTATAAGTCCTTCTTTCGAAAAAATAAAATAAAAAATTCAAAAAAAGTTAGTTTATTTACTTTATTCATGATCTTCCAAAACTACACAAAGATCTGATTCATACGGCGTCATGATACGTAAGCAACCTACATAGGGTTCGATCGAATCCTTTTATTTTTTTAAAAAGAAAAAAAAGAAGGAAAAAAAAAGGGGAAAAAAGAAAAGAAAAAAGGGTGAAATTATGGGACGTGAGAAATGAGAGGAAAGAAAAGAGTGATAATTAGGAAAAAAAGAGGAAGAAAAATGATCAAGCAAGTGCTAGAAAAGCAAAGAAAAGGGAGGTTGAAATGAACAAATTGGGATGATGCCAAGTGACCTTATGACCCTCGAAGTCATTCTAGAACCGTTAATTGTGGCTAGGTGCATTGCACGCAATGTGATATTTTTGTTGTTAAATGCCCTAACACTAACGTGATGGCCTCATTTTGTTATATTCATAGCAGAAGGGTGGTTGGTTTGTGGTTTTTAAAGTGGTAACTCTTCTCTACAACACAAAGTCAAAAGGCAATGGCAGACAACAACAGAACTGAGTTGGTTGATACCGGTGCCCAAAAGCAGTTGGTTGAACAGGACAATGGGTTGGTTGAAGAGGTAGAGATGTTAAGACAACACATGGCGGACATGTATCAGGCTTGGATGACTAGGAAGGCACTACCCCCGCCACCACCTAGCTTCCTAGATGTTGCCCTTACCCAAACTCCGGACACAATGTCAGATGATCCTCCATACTCTCCAGATCTACCCACTTATCACAACTTTCCCAACCACCTTAGTAGCTCCATCACTCGTCCGCCAACTATCTTTTCCCAAAAGTGCCCTCCTGTCATATCCACTATTCCCAACAATGAATATCCACTCAAAGCTCATGACCAAAACTACCCCGCAGAGGTTGCCTACAAGGTTCTTGACTCATACAAGAAGAGCCCTCGGGATAAGCTTCATGTTGAAAATGAAAGGTTAACAGGAAGAGAAGGGAAAGAAGGGATACCCAAGAGGCTGAAAGGCATAGAAAAATCCTTGAAGAACAAACAAGGAAGTGAAGACCAGGGTAGCATGGCTTACAAAGAACTGTATGTGTCCCATGACGTTCGCCTGCCCGCGGGGTTCAAAGTGCCAAAATTTAATTTGTATGATGGGTGTGGAGATCCGGTAACCCACCTGAGGGTCTATTGCAGTGAAATGAGAAGTGTTGGAGAGAAAGATGTCCTGTTGAGGGCATATTTCAGTAAGAGCCTAACTGAGGCAGCTTTGGACTGACATATTCGTCAAGATGTTGGGAAGTGGCCTACATTGGGAGACATGACTCAAGATTTTGTTCGATACTTTCAGTACAGATCAGGCGTTACCCTAGACTGGTCCTCCCTATCTAAAATGGAAAAGAAGCCAGAGGAAAGCTTTAGAGAGTTTGGGCTCAGATGGAGGGAATAGGCTTCTCGAGTCAATACCCCGATTGGTGAAGAAGAAATGGTTGAGCTTTTCCTACGAGCCCAAGGGCCCACCTACTTCAGTCATTTGATCCCGGCCTTGGGAAAGCCTTTCAAAGATGTGTTAAAAATGGGGGAGCTAGTAGAAGAGGGAATCAAGTCAGGCAAAATCATGAGTTGTTCGAAAGACATTCAGAACATCCCAGTAAGCTTGGGTGGAAGAAAGAGAAACAGAAAAGATGATCCGATGGGCTTTCCCGATCAACACTTCCAGCCTCGACATCATCCCCATAGCTATCCTGATGCACTTGGTGATCGTCCCCAATGCCACTTCTCTCCATGGAACTCCCAAAATCGTACATCACTTTCTCAGTACCCAGCTCCACAAAATGCCTATCCACCCCC